CATAAATTTGACTGGATAGTCTTGGAGCTATGCAAGAGATCTTTCTTTATCTTACAAAAATATGGAGTTTTAGACATTTTTTATATCAAAATCATAGTTATACAAGTGAAAAATTTTTTTTAGAAGGAATCATCCACTCCGCTTCTCTACCTTTTCCCCTTAGTTATTGCCAAAGGCCTCTTACTAAATTTGCTTAAAAATAAAAAACTAGAGCCGATTAACGTAATAGTATTGGCATTTTATCAATATTTCCTACGACTTCAGTGCTACATTAATTTTAAATCAAAATATAAAGATCAAGCATTAACGAATTTTCTTTATAATATACAAATTATTTTCAAATACCAATTAATATTTAGTTATTATATATTATATTTACTACTATATATCAACATATTATATATACATATTTATATTATTAAAATTAAATATATTTAAATTAGGTGAAAATCTGCATAATGTAGTAATTTGGAACAGGAAATAATATTTATCAAAATTATAATAATTATACAATTCATCATTGGTTTCGAAGGTTAATTAATGGACTTATGACAAATAATAATGTGATATATTATTTTATTTATGTTGATAATATTGTAACGCAAATTATTACCATTATGCCATTACAGATTTAACATATTTGAATCTTGGTTCATATTATTTTATAACTTTGAAGGCGATATTGAAATATTAAAAAAATACATATAATATAATTTGTTTTGATAATTTTTAATAATCTCAATCAAATATAGTGGAATCAATGATTAGTATAGACATGTTACATTGTGCTTTAAGATGGGATGTTTTAAAATTAAACTAAAACTAAAGCAATTGAAAGCTAAATGTAAATGTCATTATTTGATATTATTAAGAACATTATTTTTTGATTATAATTTTTATCAGGCAAATAATAAACCCTTGAAATTATAAATTTTACATTAACGTTATTAGATCTAACTTATAAGATTGAATTTTATAAATGTCTTATCCTTTATTATGTTTCCATTTGATAAGAAATAAAGTTCTCTTTACCATCAAACTATGTAAAAGATTTACATTTTCTTCATTTCGGATAAAATTAATTTACCTGTAATTATATAAATGCTTATTCCATTTTGAATGGTTATTATTTAAAACGTAATCTTTGTTGGTTTGAATATATGGTCTATAACCGAATTTTTAAAATAATCTAATTGCTAATATAAAATTTTTAGTAGCGATAGAAATTTAGAAATCATAGTATATTTTCCAGCCCTAAAGCTTTCCCTTAAAAATGATACAACCAGCCTTTATGGTTGAATTAAAAATTCCAATCTATAAGAATTTAAAGTAAAAAACGGGTATATTAGTATATTATAATGGCAAATAATATCATTTAGTCATCCAAATGTGTGAAGATGTCACATATGCAATAAATCTATAAATATAAGCAAAGTTAGTTAGTTTCAAGTCCATGCACATGAACTTCCATCCTCTAGATGCCATGATCTGTGGACCTTCCTCCATTCAGCCATTTAAATTTAGTGAGTCAATCTTTTTCCAGAGTTGCCATTGACAAAGCATATACATCAAACATCAAACTCACTGGGCCCATGAATTCTTAAATCTACCCAACTTTCTAATCATCTCTCTCATTTGCTGAATCCTTCAATAAATGAATCCTTTTACGGTAATCAATCCCGAAAATCATTCAAATTTGAAAAACCTACTAAGTTTTGTTAATATCACTCTTAAAATACCAAGTAACAAAAATATAATAACCAAATTTATTAAATCTTAAATATCCCTCTTCGGTCCTAATAATATATTAGATTCGCCCGTCCACATTTATGAACTTACATCACTAAAGTCTGTTCTTTGGTCTAGGAAACTTCTGAGGATTTCTTAGCTCCAAATAATGAGACCACTCTAATAAAAACACATCTCAGATGACCCAGAATTTTTTAGTTCAAAACAACAATAATATCGCTCCTGGAGTTAACATCCTTGAGACAATCCTGTGAGATCATCATTCAATGTGAGATTATTTCAAGACTCTACTGGAGGCCTATATGGCATATATATCATCGTCATGCAAGATATCATGAAACCAACAATATTCCATGCAAAGCACTTTTACCAAACCTTACCTGGTTGTTAAATATAATCCTCAATAGACCTCTTCCAGCCCCCATAATTCCTATTCTTTTCGGAGATCGTCTAATAGCATTAAAAAAGGGAACAGGGTTCCGTAAAATCATGGCAGTTCTTTTTTCGAAGTGCCTTTTCAAAAATCATTGCTTCACGTTATAAAGTATCTCTTTCCTCATTCCTTTTTCCGCTCCAAATAGAGTTTGATGCTCCAGGATGCAGAAATTTCCGCTCATCTTACTCACCTAACTATTGCAAATGGTATTCTTCCCGATTACATAGTTTTAAAACTTGATTTCTATAATACTTTCAATACTATAAAACGACAAAATTTTGTCCCTTCGTTCTGCTATAAATATCCAGAATATACAACTTATTTTTATAGAAACTATTCAAGTCCTACTAGTTTTATATGCAATATAGGATATAGGATATAGGATATAATCAAATCTCAAAGAGGACATAATTAGGAGACATCTTAAGATCCGCACTTTTTGCATTATTATCCACAAAATAATACAGGAAATTCAATTTACCTCTAGTATCACCTTAAATTTCTGGTATCTGAGTGACTTCAACGTTTTTGGCAATCATTCCACAATCTAGTCTATAGGGCCCATAATCAAGAGATTTTTATATATTACAGGTCTTTCACTCAATAATCTTAAATTCACCTTAAAGTATGATATATGTTTCATAAATCCCATATTCATTCTACCAGACATTACGTACCACGTCATCGACATAGATGAGATGACACGTCTCGGAGCAGCCCTCATGGGGAGAAAAATTTCAAAATAAACAAACTCAGCGAGTTGTCCAAACTAAGTAATTATTTAATTACCTTTCTAAGGATCACTCCTTTTTTCTAATTAATTTTTAATACACACAAAATCCTTTACGCCTTGATATCTGCACAGATTTACAAATGCAGCGAGTCGTTGGTGTCTCATGGAACTCTCAAAATTGGGTTCTCCTCGCAAATATATCGAATATTAAATTACCACCATATTCGTCCTGGCGTAAGGGCATATTCCTAAGAAAGCCAGATGGCATCTGTATCCGATCTCCGCTATAACTTACTCTTTCAGCCTTTATTTCACCCAGTCTAGCCTTAAAACATTATCAACCCAGTTTAATAAATCGTGACCTATCCATGCTCCTTAAACCTTTGAGACAGAAATTGTTGTCTAACTCCTGCCATGCGTCTATATGACAATATTCACTGGAAATAACCCCTCCCTCCCTCAAAAACCGATATCACATTGTTTTATATCGAAAATTAAAATATAAATAGCAAATGTTGTAAGTTATGTAAATATAAGTAGATGATTATTTTCTCCGTTTACCTACATTTATATCTAAAATTATTTAAATTTTTAGATAATGATAGATTTACTTAAGTATTCAGATTATTATTGTAAATGAGCATTTTTTGGTGTTATCATTCATTGACAGAATTAATATTTTATTTTAATAATTTATTATGTATAATACATGTGTATATAAAGCGCGGTATTTTTGTTTGATAAAAAAAATGGATTTTTGCATTTACTTGTAATCATTTTGTCTGGTCTAAAATTGCCAATAAAGATTGGTGTTTTATAATATACGAATTTTAATTATTATTATATTGGTAGCCTTCGTGCTTCACATGCCACAAAGAGGCCTTTCTAGACCTTTACTTCTTAAAGTTTCGTACTGCTTGCGAGCACTTCTTCTTACAGTAATAAACGAATATTAAGATCTCCGTTTAATGATTTCCAACATTTTTCAATCGGTTCAGGCCCTGATATTTTTAAGTATACTAGTTTTTTGACCAATTCTGTCATTATTCTTAAAATTGAAATCGAGCCCACCCCCCCCCCTTCTCCTTCCGTGATAATGGATACTCCCCATGTGATTTAAATTCAATTTCGTAACATTAGGCTCTAGCAAAAAAAATGTTATGATTATATATTTTAATGGAAAAATTACTAATAAATTTATACGTCCAAAAATAATTAATATTAATGTATCATTTATTTTTTTTATTCATAGTATATTTTTAGCTTCATAAATGGCGATGCTATATTTATTTCCCAAATTTTCATTATCGTAATTTATCTTGTCTAAAGATTATATTAGAATAATATTCCTTAAAATCGATCCATTTATCAATCTTTCCTGCATCATATCATATCTTTCGCGTTCTTTACTTTTTCTGTAATAATTATATCCATATTCTTAGCATTCATTTCCTTACGCTTAACACTTGTTTCTCAATCTGCGTCTCTGTTTAAATATAGTTTCCATCATTCATTCAGGCTAAATCTTTATCTGCAATCAAATCCATCTGTCCTTAGGATTAGTGATTGAATATTTTCCCCTAACATAGCTGTATGGATCTATTATAACCCTAATGCGAACCGCTTATTCTAGAGAAGATAAGTAAAGAAATGAAAACTATTTTATTATTTTTTAGAATATTCTAGAAGATATTTGTATTCTTAATTAATAAATAATAATATAATAATGATATGATATGCCTTAAATTCTTATTTTTATTTAATCTTTTTTTTATTTCTTAAAGATTTTGTTTTCAAATTTTATTTTTTTGTATTTGATTTTGAATAATTTTTAATTACATAAAAAAAAAATATTAAAGTAATAGATACAATATTGTAAGGGAAAGAAATCGTTAAAGTATTTTAAATAGTAATTCTCATAGGATCATTTAAGATATAAAATAAAAAAATCATCTTCTTTGAGTGAAGATTCGTGAAGATTATGTTCATTTTGATTATTGATGAAAAATCTAAAAAACCCTCCAAACGATGAGTTATCGGGTAAAGCAAAGAGTAATAAAATTAAAATTTCTAAATCCTTGCCAACGATCCCTAAAGATGAATCAAGCACGCCACCTAAATCAACTCCTGAAACAAGTTTCAATTTTTTTATCAAATAAAAATTTACATAAAAAAGCTAGTAGTTTGATTCTCTTTCTTTCTTTCTTTTATTCGTTCTTTCTCTCTCTCTTTCTTTCTTTCTTTCTTTCTTTCTTTCTTTCTTTCTTTCTTTCTTTCTTTCTTTCTTTCTTTCTTTCTTTCTTTCTTTCTTTCTTTCTTTCTTTCTTTCTTTCTTTCTTTCTTTCTTTCTTTCTTTCTTTCTTTCTTTCTTTCTTTCTTTCTTTCTTTCTTTCTTTCTTTTATTCTTTCTTTCTTAAACATAGACTGATGATTCATTAATTTAAATGTCTTGCCATACAAATCAGGCTGATGATAGGCTACTGGTTTTTCCATAATAACTGTTTACATTAAAATTTTATAAATCTTATAAATAAAAATTCCCTCAAAAAATATAATAGGGAAAACCAAAAATGGCCTCGTCTCACTAACTGATTTGTATTCAACTTTAATAAATGAATCGTTCTAAGTATTATACGCCATTGGTAGGTGCGGATTTCTAAAATATATCGTTAAAGAATCGAGTTTCTTTAAATTCTCCTCTAATTTACTTCACTATTGCAAAACACCTGCCATTCTAGGGCAAAATATGCTTAGGCCTGTATAAAGCCTTATGCACCGAAATCTAAGACTATTTGGGCAGTTTTTTTACAAAATTTTATCGGCTTTTTACAGTGGGCCGAATTAAAGGCAAACTATACGCCGCCCCCGCATCATAAAAAGATGGCAGCGAGCCTGGCTGCTTGGCTCCTCTCAATCGTCGGTTTTTCTGGTGAAATAAAAATTACCAGCGGCATTTTCTAAAACTTAACTTTTCTTGGGAGAGGTTAGAGTTATGAGCTTCTTTAGATATAGCGTAGGATTTCTTTCTTTCTTTCTTTCTTTCTTTCTTTCTTTCTTTAAAAAATGGTTTAAAAAAATTTGGTCGCGTTTAATGAAATCGCTATATTTACAGACTAAATGATGGCGTGTAACTTTTTGGCCCATCTATTTAACCGACGTAAGAGATATGACACATATCAAATTCTTATCTTTTAATTATATATATATTTTTTTAAATGGTCAATCATCTCCAAGAACGAAATAGGGGAAGATTTTAAATAAGAATAATAATTGTCGGAAGCAGGAATTCTCAAATCATCCTTGGAAATTTAGCGTCTGTTATTTCAAATTTTCAAATGAGAATAAAAACTCCATTAAAAACGTATGAAAAGTAATCGGCATTGATAATTTAAGGCGATGACTTTGTGGAGAATTGAATATTTCATTTATAATATCAGCAATATTTCCTGACATTTAGTATTTAAAAAAAAATATATACAGATAAATTCAGAATTTCTGAATTTACTTAAATACTTTGTTCAAAATTTTTCACTTCTTTTTTTTACCAATCACACTCTTTCCCCGACCTACTTCAAAAGTAATATTCCTAAGACTTCTAAGCAATTCTGATTCTATCATTTACGAGTCTACCTCTTACAAAAATTCCGTCCTTTGTATCAGCTGATCATAAATAAATTAAAGAATTTTATATAAATTTCCTGTTGAAATTCTTTAAAAAGAAAAAAAAATTTAGAATAGGGAATTGGGAAATTTTATTTGGATCAGTTGAACAAATGTATACTAATGCGTTTTAATAATCTTTTTTTGTTTAGACGAAAACTCCAAGAAAGGGAGATCAATGTCTATCAGTAATACCGTGAAGATTGAGTGGAGTAGCAGTCCCAAAAAACATTCATTTAAAGATGTAAGAATTTCTTTTAAAAAAAACAAAAAAAACAAACTGTTTTTTAAAAATTTATTATATTAAATATATCACTAACCCATACTCTTATTAATTAACCGAATGCTAAGGCGATCTGACATATTTATAGAAAATTTAATAGTAAAAAAAATATCAATCCAGAATTGATTAGTTCTTCGGAAATTTGCGTGTTCCTGAGAAAAATATTAATCACAAACCTAAAGATTTCGCTTCATAGATGGCGCAAAGATCTCCATATCTATCAGCTGAATCTCGAGACTTAGACAATATTTTCCTGGCTAGCTCAAAACGAGCCGTTTAACAACCACTAAAAAAAAATTTGAAAAACCAAAAATCATTTTCATTAAACTTCAACATAGCTAAAAGGTCTAAAATAAAAGGGCTTAAACGTGCCCCACCCCTCTCACCTACCATAGGAAAATCCTGGATCCGCCTATGGTTAAATAATGATCTTAACCTGACTATTTTTATTATACAAAAAAATTATTACTATATTTAATAAATTAAAATTAATCGAATAAGAGCTTGAAAGAAATTTTCTGTACCCACGAACCTCCCATCATCAGGAAAATAAATGGGGCCCAATTTCCACCTAACACTTTCCAAATATCTATCGCCATCATGTTAACCGTTCATTCAGTAGTTTTCGCGTTGGTATTTTGCCCTCAATCTATATACCAAGCCGATCAAATTGCCATATACATAGTAAGTAACTGATTTGAATTTATATTTATATTTATAGTTGTATTTTTATTTTTTTTTACTCCCAATGCATTTACTTACAAACTGTCCTAAACTTGATTATAGACGATTTAAACTTTTATATATATATATATATTATTTGATAAGGTAATTTGCAATTTATATATATATAAGTAATCATTATTTTTTGTTTACAAGGATTTAAGAATGAAAAACATTTAAAAATAAACGAAAAATGAAGAAAATTAATAAAGAGAAAACAATATTTCTAAAGCAGGCCTAATATAATGCATACCATTTATATGAGTTGTTTTATATAACCTTATAATGCGTATACTAAAGTTGAACACACATTACGAGCGCATACATCATAATACAATTTAAACTCAATTAATTGGTATATACTGCTCAAAAAAAAATATTATTATTTCCTAAAACTATTGGAGAAAAGGTAGGAATGTCTTCCGCGATTCTTTTCACGGTAACCTACTTTATCGCTTCGAGCAAAGACGTTTCCCCTGATCTAGTTCGAAAATTGCCGGCAAATAGGAAAGTTCCGAGATGGAACAAAACAGATGACCATTACAACATTATAGAAGATGACTTTTGCCATCTTTGCCAAGTTCAAGTGTATAATCTAGTTTTTTTTAAAAAAAAAACTTTTAAAATGCATTCATTCATATTTTTTTTCTTTCTTTCTTTCTTTCTTTCTTTCCTTTCTTTCTTTCCTTTCTTTCTTTCCTTTTTCAAAAAATAATATATATTTTTTAAAGATTTTCCACTAAATTTTATAATCCAAAATCCTAAATTAAAAATTTTGTTTCATAATCATCGCGAAATCGATCAAGTAAACACAAACAATTATACTTTATATACGATTAATATTAACCTATATAAAAAGTCCGCCTGACACTAAGCATTGCAGGTGCTGCAATAAATGCGTTGTGAACTACGACCATCATTGCGTTTGGTTGGACACCTGCGTTTCTCAGAGCGGAAATTTCTGGTAAATTTTTTTTAAAGAATAAATATATATATATATATGGTAGAAAAAAACCGTCTGACAACCTTTTATATAACATTTCACGAATGGCATTGAAATCGAACGAAATTAAAAAACCGGAACCTAGACACAATTCTTAAAACATACATCTTCCACAACCTTTCCCCATCGGAATCAAGTTTTAAAAAAAATCAACTTAACCCAAAAAATGATTTTTGCGCATCACCCTCGAAGACTACGCCCTTTTAAAACATATGGAGGGCAATTAGCCTACACCCCCCCCTCCCTCCTGTAATTTAGACACTGCGTATTGAGGTCGGGTTTAAGGAGTTGCGGGCCTGACAAAATATTATTTTGTAATCGAGAAATATTTAATCCCCCGAGGCAAATTAAACTTTACTTTGGCATCGTCAACTTGTACGTTATTTTGTAACCACTAGGAATGCTTAATTATCGTAATTTTGACATTACAATACAATTAATATAATTTTTTCAATCGTATTTTATTATATTAATACTCAAGCTGTTTATAAGGCTTTTGCTTGAATTATTTTTTTTGCGTTTTACCTTTTCCTCAATTTTTATGTTTAGATTTTTTGGCTTTTAAATTTTTAAGATATTACTTCTATTGCTAGTAGATTTACACATATAGAATCTGAACAATATTTTTTTTTATTCTTTAAGAACAAAATTTTTTATATTAGGTAGGTTCCATAGATGCCATATGGAATCTTAAAATAAAATTTAAAACTATAAATTTTTTCCATCTAAGTATAAGTGTAAATAAAGAATTTGATTCAAAAAATAGTTGTTTTTTTTTTAAAACTCAATTTAAAATGGTTAAGAAAGTTTTTTTTAAATAAAATTATTATTATCTTTCTTAGGCCCTTCCTGATATTCCTAAACATAACTACGATTGGACTGACTTTTTACACCGTCGTTTACTTACTCTTGCTTCGCCGGAAGCTATCTTATAATATAGGTAATTACTACAGCGCAAATATTTTTATAAACGCGGCGGGATTGCTATCGTGGTATAACAACTCACAGTTTTGTTTGTTTTTTTTTAAAAACTGTTTTTTATTAGATCAATTTTTTTGTATAAAAATTATTTTTTGAGATTATTATTATTATGAATTGAATTAAAGATAAATTTTAAAAAAAAAATCGATCAGCTGTTAAATCGCGATCCCAATAGCGCCACTATAAATGTATTATTTTTTTTCAAAAGTTTTGATTACCATTTTTAAATAATATATATCATATTACACAAGTTCGAAAATATTTTACGAATGAAAGAAAGAAAGAAAGAAAGAAAGAAAGAAAGAAAGAAAGAAAGAAAGAAAGAAAGAAAGAAAGAAAGAAAGAAAGAAAGAAAGAAAGAAAGAAAGAAAGAAAGAAAGAAAGAAAGAAAGAAAGAAAGAAAGAAAGAAAGAAAGAAAGAAAGAAAGAAAGAAAGAAAGAAAGAAAGAAAGAAAGAAAGAAAGAAAGAAAGAAAGAAAGAAAGAAAGAAAGAAAGAAAGAAAGAAAGAAAGAAAGAAAGAAAGAAAGAAAGAAAGAAAGAAAGAAAGAGAAAGAAAGAAAGATATAAACCTGTAACAAAATGTTGATTAGGACGACCCACAAAAGTATTAATCGAGTTTGGTATATAAATTAGATAAGTCGGACCTTAACTAGTTAAGCTACAATTTGATGAAAATGGCGAAACGCAAAGATATACGCGTGCACATGAATAATAGGTAGTTTGTAAAATAAAAAAAAAATTTTTCTCAAAATAAAATCATTTGGATTTAAAAGATAGAATAAGGAAAGTTTTACCGTTCCAACTCAAAGCGGAAGTTTTTGACGAAATCATACTGGGCATGTCCATATACTCCGCGATACAAACCGTCATATTTTGGATATTCTTAACATTCTACATGATTACTAGGGTACGATTTAATTTTTACGCTGCCGCCCAAACCTTTATTTAATTATATAATTTTACAAAAAATAAATTGAATAGTTAATGTACACTCAAACTGTTTAACCAAATAGAATAGGGTAGGGGAAACCAGGGGCTATTCGGCAGGTGTTTTGCTCTTATCACGATATTTAAAATTTTATTTTAGATAGCAAAACTAATTATTATCTGGATAGCCACATCGTTAGACTAAAAAAAATATAAATTTTAAAAAAAAATCGCGGCTTTCTTCCTTCAACATATTGTGGGCGTTATTTAGGGTTAAGTAATAGTAGTACTTTCTTACTTTTTACTATTTATCGATGACTCTGGTGGAGACGGAAAATATCAAATTCAACACACGAAACATAGAATTAATTTTTATTGTTATAAAGACATTATAACAACGCACAAAATTCCTATCTTAACTTGAGATTCTTAGTGGTTTTATTATGCTGTAGACTTTTACAGCGCATTAGACAATTCTAATTTTTTTTTTTATCGTTTTAGATTTAAATTTTTTTTTCCAATGCACGTTATTTTACTTCCTGACGTTTAACACCAGGGGGGTAGTGAGCAGGGTTTCGAACCGTTTAGTATAACGGTTCGGTTCGTTCCGGTTTTTAGTTTAAAATTTTATAAAGGTTTTGTTCCATTTCGGTTTTTAAAAAAAAAATCATATCGGTTCGGTTCGGTTTATAATTTATAACGGTTCTTTTCGGTTTGTTCCGGTTTTTATAAATTTAATTAAAAAAAAATTAATCATTAACCATGTATATATTAATTTTAGAGAAAAATCTTTTTATAATTTCTTATTTAAAACCATGAATGATAATCTAATAGATATTTTTATTAAACTTAGTAAATATAAATTAGACAAATCAATTCTTTTTATTTCATAAATAAGATAAACACAAACATGCGCAAATACAATGAGGAATAAAATAACACATAAATATAATGAAATTTATATTATTTATTTTTAAAAAGAGAATTGGAACGGATAACTAAAATATTTTCTAATATTTCAGGATTTAATTTAGTTCTTTGGGCAGAGAGTATAAACTTAAGGCTAGAAAATGCTCTTTCTACGGATACCTGCGTAGCTGGAACTGCTAGCACAACCATAGCTAACTTATAAAGTTCTGGCATACTATTCTTTACATTTCCCCAAATAAATCTTCAAAATCATCATCTAAGTTATCTTTCGAATGTGAACACGTAGGAATAGTATCTAGATTTTCAATATTCTGATTATTTAAATTTTGGATTAAGTTCCAAGTTTTATAAAGATGTTTTTTGGCGATATCTTTTTCTTCAAATGATAAAAATACATTATATCTTGGGTCGAGATATATAGCTGAGCAAAAAACTTCATTTTTCAAATTAATCTCTCGTGCTTTGATTGTACAAACTAAAAGTTTGGCAAATGAAGTGTCTATTTTGCTAGTTTGCATGATACATTTGATCCATGCTGCATAAAAATCGCCCATGGTCATTTGTTCACTTTGTATATATTTTGTCAAAATATAAGATGGATATAAAGCTTTTAATATATCACTAATTATTTTCCATTCATTCTCTGACAAACATTTTTCACGATCATTACTTTGGGCCGATATTTCTTGGCAAAAGTTTTTTAACTCTAATAATCTTTCCAACATTAAATAGATTGAATTCCATCTTGTGCAACAATCTATTAGTGGCTTTTTTAAATTTAATTTGGACAAAATAGACATTGTAGTCTGATTTCTTATTTTTTTGCAAATGTTTCTTGCTTTATTAATAATAACAATTTCATTTGAATTTTTTATGCAATCATTAATTGCTAATTGAAATGTGTGGGAGGCACATCTAATGCCCATTAACATGGATCTCGTATGAGGTACAAGATTAATATTTTCAATATTAAAAAAAGGTTCTTCATTTTCATTAACAATTATATCATCATTGTTATTTAAATTATCATTATCTAAATAATCATTAAGGATATCATCTTCATCATCTTCTTCATCATGATGTATTAACAGCTTAATTAATTTAATCATGTTAGCTGCATTGTCTGTGGTTATCGTATAAATTTGATCAATTCTTATTTCATGTTCGTTTAGAACATCTAGAATAATTTTTTTTAGATATTCTGATGTATGTCTTTCTTTTATCTCTTTCATGTATAACGTTCTTAATTTTATTTCTCCATTATCTATAAATTGAATATTGATCCCCAGTATGGACCTATCATATCGAGTTGCAATATCTAATTTTAACGATATAAGTTTTTGGTATATTTCTTTTTTTAAATTTTGCGAAAAATCAAATGCCATTTTTTTAATATTATTGCGTATATTTTCAGAATTGATGGTTAAATTACCACCCAATCCTACAATTATCGGATCTATAATATTTCTAAATGCTTTGTCATCAATTGATTTTATTGGTCTCCCATGAACTGTGATTAACTCAGTGCAGGAGCGGATTAAAGTGTCTTTATTAATATTAATTTGTATTGTATTAGTTTTGGTAAAAGCATTTTGAATTGTATTATGATTATTTGCATTTTTTGTTATTGTTTTTTTAATAGTCAAATTATCTTTTTTTTTTTTAATAATTTTAATTCCTTATCGTGGAATCTTTCTATATGTCGTTCAAGATTTGCTGCATGGTCCCCGGTTAAAACTTTACCACAGTTTTCTAGTTTACAAGTAGATTGATTTTTTACAATATCTAATTTAAAATATGATCGCACAGGATTTGACTTTTCCCGAACCATTTAATAGATACTAATATGCTATATGATGATGAATAGATCAGAATCTTTTATTATAAAAATAGAATAAATAAATTTCTTAATAGAATCAGTATAATTTTTATTTATCTTATCTGACAAGATCTCCCCCAAAAATGTGAATTATATGCAGGCCTACCCTTCATATAATTATGCCGATTTTTTCCTCAAAAATACTAACAAAACAAACTTGTACACAGATGAAACTAAATAAGTGAATGGAGCTTACTAATACCATTTTAATAAATAATTTGGAAGCAAAAAGATAAGATATAAAATAAGAAGAAAAGAAATAGAAAAGCTGTTTAAAATTCCAAAAACAACTGTCTTTTATTAAAAAATTAAAGTTAATTAAATTAAAACTTTAATGGATACTTTATATTTTATAATTATCCAATTGAATTTCATGTGTTTAAATTTTATTTGGTACTATAAGATTTAGAAGGTTAATCAGTAAGTAGTTATTATTTCAAGAAATTATCCACTAAAGTGTAAATGGAAATAAATAAATAAATTAACCATAAAATATAGGAATATTAATTAACAATCATATGTTTTTTTTTAATTTCAGAATTCTAATATTCATTTAAGTCATTATAAATCATTCATTATGAAAATATTAATTAATAAGAAATTAATATAAAACGGTATTTTATTAAAAGTAATCAGTACCTGATTTTCTTTATATGTTAGTTAGAATTATGATTTTTCCCAAATTATTAGCAAGTATTAATAAGCTAATTAATAACTAATATACATATATATATATATAAGAATAAACTTGTTAATTTAAAGAATAGTCTTGTTTGATTTTAAGATTCTTATCTAATTAACTGGTAATTCGCTTAATCTCTATTAAATTGAGTATTTATTAAAGTGAAAAGAAAAAACAATAAACATGGTGGTATTAATTGACATGTAAAAAAAATTCAATTTGAAAAGAAATAAAGAGTTTAAAAATTTCCCCAAGGAAAATTCAAATTTCAAATTTAGATTAACAATGTTTAATTTTAATTATTTTTAAAAACCGTTTTGAACCGGTTTAAACCGGTTTAAAATATTTATAACGGTTCGGTTCGCTCTTTTTATAGTTTCTTTATAACGGTTCGGTTACGGTTACGGTTCAGAAAATTATAACGGTTCATTCCGGTTTGGCGGTTCGGTTCGGTTCGGTTCGAAACCCTGGTAGTGAGTGAGCTTAAATAGCTATAGAAACCTTTCTAGAAGAACTTGAAAACTTCAAACCAAGTTTAATCCAAGGCATTGAGCAATGTGGCGACAAATTTCTTAAAATATGAGGAGATATTCTTTCTTCAATACATAATATATACTAAAAAAAAATCGTTGTTGATCAATATTTTTAAATAGCCAGCTTCTGTTACCAAATGAACATGTATAGATAGAAATATACATATCTTACAAATTTGAGATTAACTCTCATAAGATAAAAAGCTAAAGCCGTTGGCTTTTTTACCCCACCTGCCGGATAGCCCCGATCTCACCTATTTTAGTTTATTTTGTAAAAAAAAAAAAATAGGAGGGGAAAAAGAAACAAACAATGGCTATTTTCATGTTTAAATATTTTACGGCAAGAATAAAAAAAAAACGTCAATTATGTTTGGACATTATAAATTTTTTTGCTCCTTCTCATTAAAACTTCTACTACAAAATAATAGTCTTCAAATTTCAAAGTGGCCATTTTTTTTAATATTAAGAAATAATCATTTATCATCTGAATGATGAATACTGGAGTCTGAATCGGTTTCCGCTGGCCTAAAGAAAAAACAGGTTACCGTTCTAAATCGCTAAAACAAAATCGCTAATTTGGGAACCTCGCTTATATCTCCAAGAAAATTTTTAAAGTAAATTTGAAATTAATATTAATTGACACTAGGGGACTAAACACTTGTATTTAAATTGAAAATTTAAAAAAAAATCGCTAAAATGGAAGAAATATCAACCAAATTCCCAGTTTTGGGAAATCAAATTGGGAATTTGGTTGATATTTCTTCCATTTTAGCGATTTTTTTTTAAATTTTCAATTTAAATACAAGTGTTTAGTCCCCTAGTGTCAATTAATATTAATTTCAAATTTACTTTAAAAATTTTCTTGGAGATATAAGCCAGGTTCCCAATTATTAGCGATTTTTGTTTTAGCGATTTAGAACCTATCCCAAAAAATACGCAACGTGAAAGGGGTCAGGACCGCTAGATCCGAACCATTGACCTCTACTTA